GTAGTAGAGTAAATCATACACAAATGAAATAACTAGCAGAAGGCAAGAAAGTAGTAAAAATATAGATTACAAAATTTTAATGAAATGTCATATCTAGTATCCATGACCGATTGAGGAATAAGAACAATAAAAAAGTAAGTGCATATACTTCATTGATATTTTCTAATAATTTAATTGTCAAGGGTAGTCACCTTAGGATAACCTATTGAATACATTCCTTTTTCATAAGTAATATGTACTCAAGTATTGTAAGAATAATGGGGCATTTATCTAAGTTTGTCTATTTATCTAATCTATTTCTAATATCGCTGTCATCATTATCTATTTGAATAATTGGTTGATGTGGGAGATTATGACTCAAAGTTTTTCATAAGGAGAAATTATTTTCAACTTTGGCTTTTAGTGCTCATCACTCATGTCAGCTTGTATGCATTGACACATTCTTTTTAAAATGACTTTTTAGAATACCTGTGCCCCTATGTTAATAACAGCACTATTTAAAATAGGTAAAACTTGGAAACAACCCAAATGTCCCAAAAATAGATGACTGGATCAAGATGTGGTACATATACACAATGGAATACTATACAGCAAAAAAAAAGAAAAAGAAAAAAGATTCAGCAACATGGATGGAGTTAGAAGAGATTATTCTCAGTGAAATAAATCAGAAAGAAAAAGAAAATTACCAGATGTTTTTACTTATAGGAGGACTACAGGGAAACTAAATAAATGGTCTGGAGAAAAATAATATCAATTTAAAAAATACAACAGAACTAAAAATAATCAGACAACTATCAATCAGAGACATTCTGTAGTGGAGGGGGAGGGAGGAAGTACCAAGTGAGGGCAGGAAGAGAACAAGGGACTAAGGTGAAGGTACATGGGGGAAATTGGTGGTGGAAATTCTATGGGGACTAAGCCAGATGTAAAATAATACAAATAAAGAAATTAAATATAAAAAATTTTAAATAAAAATAGGTAAAATTACTTGTCTGCATTCTTACACATTAATTTTATGCTACAAGCTCAAATCGACAGTCCATTTATGTTCTTATGTTGGGCATTTATGCAGCACTGCTGATTCTTAACCAGTGCAAATTTATATTTCTTACAAAGCAAATGGCCAAGTTTAGAATTAGCAATTCATGAATTCTCCATATGTGGAATAAGAATTATAATTATCATAAGTTGTCACAGTTTCACTCTCGTAAAAAAGTATATGGTATGAAGAATGATTAATACATTTTTATAAGGAATTTGAGAAGGTAGATTTATTGTAAGGATACTAGAGTTTCAGTTTCACTATATGGAATATCCAGTAATTGAGTTTGTTTTGAACTCTGTACAAGGGCCTATGGTCTAACAGATAGGATCGCTATCAGAAGAGATGGATTATCTATCTTGGCTTAGGAAGCCAAGGCTTTGAGCTGGTACAATGTCACTGTCACTTCCATTTCATTCTAAATCACCTAGTAACTATGATTTGGGGATGAGACTTTTTCTTAACTTAATAAAAGTATAAATTAATAGATGTCTTAATGTGCCCAAAATTTTCTTAAGTGTTTTACTGGTCACATGCCATTTAATCCTCATTGTAACTATAGTGTCATCATCCCCCAATTATATAGAAAAGGACATTGAGACTCAAAGAGTTGTGCAATTTTATCTGGGTTAGAAAATTAACTCCGTATCACCTGCCTCCTAGACCTGTGAAATCAGTCACCTTAAAATTTGTGACTCTCAAAAATTTATACAATGGAAAATACAAATTAGATTGGTTTTTCTTTAAAACTTTACAATTCATGATGTAAATGTTAGTTATTGCTAAAAACAGGTAAATAGTCCCATATTTTTTGTGTGTGTGTTTCAGAAGGAGACTTAGAGGATGTGTCTGTTTGAATCACCAGTCATTTTAAAACTTAAGAACTTTAATATAGCCTTTTCTTTAGCTCATGATTCTGTGGTCTGTGCATTTGGGCAAGATTTGGCGAGACAGTTCTTGACACTCACTTATAAGTAAGGCAGTTCTACTTCTGGGGAGTAACTGACTCTCATCTAGAGGTAGGATGAGAAGTTTGGTGGGGGAGGAAAAGAAAAGCTTTTCTTTTAAATCTGTTTCCAAATACTATTTTTTTGGGGGAGGGGATCAAAGATGAGAGAGAGAGAGTATGGGCAAATTAGGTTCATTCTCTTAGCATTGAGGAAGTTCTAAGAGAGATACAGAAACCACATGACCTTTGGAAGACAAGGCTTTGAATTGGTACAATGTCACTGTGACTTCCACTTCATTCTATTGGCCAAAGGAAATTACAGAGCTACCACACATTTAAGGGCTGGAAAAACAGTCTTGATGGCAGCAGTGATAGTCACATTTAAAAGGAAGCACTTACAGGAAGTGTGGGTAGTTACAGCCATCTTTTAAAATCTACTATATAGGAGTTTTATTTATGAATATGTTGTTTTGGAGGGTGAATAATACTTAAAAACTCTTATACTGGACTTTTAAAAGCAAAGTTAATTTGGTCAAATGTTAAACTTTTGCAAGTATGTCATTTTGATAGGCACAATGTGGCTTTGTGAGATCAAGTCCCACTTCTGGTGATGAGGTAGTGTTCAGTTTCTGTAGCTTTTGGTGTTGCTAACTTAAGGATATAAAGAAGGCAACATTTCAGCTGCTTCTCTGTAAGGGGTAATGTCCATAAGGTCTTTCAAATCTTTGCTCCATGCAGACCAACAAAGGAAACCACAACTGTTTGTTCCTCCTTAGTTTTCCATTGCCATCTTTCAAAGATTTGCTTTCTTTTTCACTTTTATCTCTCTTTTGCAGCAGGATCAGTGGGGTTTGCTAGCTGGAGGGGTTTTCTGTTCTCTCCTGTCTTATATAATGAGCCTGGATATTTGTCTTAGGATCATCTCTTCTTCTATTGAGCAGAAAAAAAAAAAATAAAAGAAACTATTTTGTTCATTGCTCTGCTTATCAATTCTCCATTATATGCACACCTCATCCTTTTATCTCCCACATTCTTGTTTTCAAATGTATCTGACATGTTTTATAATTTCATTCTAATCCGTTATGAATCACAAGAAAAAGCTGAACTCTTCTAAAAATGATCCTTTTATCAATACGATTATTTCTAGATAACTTATGTAACCTTAGACTTAAATTGATTCATTGGGTTTTTACTTTCTCTTTTCTCCCCCTGTGACTCCTTTGCATCATTCTATTCTTATAGTTTGGTTTCTTATAGTCCCTCGTAACACAAATTTAATATTGTCAAACTAGAGGTTTTTATTATTGATTCCTGGTTTTGGTTTTGAGTTATCTTCTAGAGATCTTGTAAGTTAAACACTATGAGCACATAGTGAGAGCACAGTAAATATCTGTTTTTATTTATGTTCTACCAATATACATACAATTGCTAATTTATTTTAAAGCAAACCATATAGCTCCCCCCCCATTGAATTCACTATATTAAGTAATATAAGAGACCATCTAGATAATATGAGAATGCATGCCAGAATGTCAGTATCTTTTTTCTTAGTAATTTTTCTGGCAATTGGAATTTACTATCACTGTTATTTTTAGAAATGCCTTATGACTGATAATAGTGCAAAACTAGAATTACTTCCATAGTGTTTAGGCTTTTTACTTTGTGCATGTGTGTTTTACAAAGTCAAATTTATATTTTCAGAAAGTTCACATAGGTCTTTAAATTACTATACACTGTACTCTCACGGTATAAGTAAGTTTCTTATAAATGTACATATGTGATATTTTCTTGTAGCAGTGTCTTAGAAAACAGTGACCATCCAAAGACCTTTTAGTTCTTTAATTATTTACTATAATAAAAGGTGTTTTCTTTTAGAGAACTGTTTATATTTAGCTGCCCAACTTTCATTCTTCTATATACCTTTCTTTCTCAGTAACTCTTGTTCTTTCAAAATCATTGTATTGATATCAATATGTTTTTCAAAGATACCACCTCCTCCTAGCATTCTATCTACTCAGTGAACTGCAACCATAGTAAGCCCTCTCACTCCAATATAAACGGATACAGAAACACACTATTTGGTGGAAGTTCTGGTGTGGGTTAAACTGTATTCCTCTGCACCCCACCCCTCAAAAGAGGTGACATGTTGGAGTTTTAACTTCCAGTTCCTCAGAATGTTACTTTATTTGGAGACAGTATATTCTCAGTACAAGTTAAAGTCATCAGGGTGACCTCTACCTCTACTCCTCTAGTGTTCATGTAGATGAGTGTACGTGTATAAAGGGAAATTTGGACACAGAGGTAGGCATGCGTGGAAGGAAAAATGATGTCAAGAAAGACAGGAGAAGACCTCCATCTACAAGCCAGGGAGAAAGACTTGGAGTAAGTTCATTTTCCTAGTCCTCTCAAAAACTCAACCCTGACCATGCCTGCATTTTACAATTCCAGCTTCTAGACTGTGAGATAATAAACTTCTGTTGTTTACACAATCCAGTTTGTGGTGCTTTGTTGTAGCAGTGCTAGAAAATTAATACAAGGCCCATTACAATTTTGAGAAAGGGAGAACATGGCTAATTAGATCATTGTTTTTGGCACTGGGTATTTGCAGTTCATCTCTTTAGCGTCTGATAAAGAAATCTGAATTTTCATTTGCTAAAACATTATATTCCTGGAATAAACTTTTAAAACTTGTTTTATATAACCATGATGTGGTGACTGGAGACCTACATTTGCTGGAAAGAGCCAGCCAGAGCCATGTATAAGACACGAGAAACAGACTCACTTGTCACCTGTAAGTAGACCCCTCTCTCCCATCAGCTGTCATTAATGAAGAGAAAATGCTATCCTTTTAGATTCTCTCACTTGTTGGGAGGGGTGGGGCAGCGGAGAAAGGGTGTGGGGTGTAAATAAGGCAGGCAGAAGCTATAGAGAAGGTGGGGATAGAGCTCCACGAAAGAAAAATATGTGAACCTGGTTGGTACAACAGCGCTTCCCCAGACCCACCCACCCACCCTTTCCAGAGCCTTGTGTTCTGGCGGCGGTGGTTGGCAGCTGCGAGCGGTGGTGAAGGGACAGTTCCAGCAGCCTCTGCTGGGGTGGGGACAGAAAGAAAACCTGCAGGTCGTAATCCGAGCAGGGTGACTTCACCTTCAAGTGGGTGAGCTCTCCTGACCTCTCGGACTAGCTCCGCGCCAGTGCAGGCCGAGCCGATCTGCCCGCTCCCGGCGGGGTCGCCGAGCGCCGGCTGGACCCGCCCCGAGCTCCATGGTTTGCCCAGCCCTGCGCGATGGTGACTCTGGGCGCGGAGGTTGGCGCGGGGCGAGCCCGCGGCTCGCAGAATGAAGGCGGGGAGCTCAGCCGGCGGCCGACGGGGCTCGTCTCCGCGACCCCAGTGCCCAGAGAAGCGGCCCAACCACCTGAACCCGAAAAACGCCAACAAGTAGTTTCTCCTTGGAGCAAGGCGGCTCGGCTGGGTGTCGGGACTCAGCCTGGCTGCTCGGAGAACCTCGTCTACTCGGAAACCAAAGCAGAACCACTTTTCTCTCGGTCTCGTTAAGGTATTTGGGGGTGGGAGGGAAAGGGGGCGATTCCCGGGAAAGGCTTGCTGACGGTGCAGGCCGGTGTCCCCCGACTCCTCTGTTCCGCAATGGGAAGGTAGAGGTGAAGCCCCAGGGAGAGGTGACTGGTGGAAACGGGGACGCTGTCTGCCAGGGTTTCCAGTTCGGGGACCCAGGGGGTGTGCCTTCAGTAGCCTTTCCAGGGCCTCGCCCCTCCTCGAAAGCAAGCCCCCACCCTTTACTCGCGAGGCGTTTGTTTTTCTCGGGAAGATGGGATGAATGGATCACTTCTCGTCTCAAAAATGGATCCTTAGTTTCTTCCTTTCCCAAGTAGTAATAATATTAACAACAACAATAATGTGAAAAGGAAATTGGATCAGGAAATTAGTCAGAGGTCTCCTTGGTGAAAGGCAGAAGCAGGGCAATGTTTTTTGCTGTGACTTCTGCGTTCAGTCCTTTCGCTTGGCGCGAGAGGGAGAGTAGAGGTGAACGAGACCAGGTCGCGCAAAGGGCACTCCCAGAGCTCAGGAAGCAGCGAGTCGTCCAGAGTTGACCGAGGGTACGCGCGCCATGCTGCTGTCGGCGAGGCCGGGGGTCTCGCACCCCACCCCGCCAAGTTGCCTCACAGGGGCTAACTCCCTGCCCAAGGGAACTGCAGCCAGGTTAGGGGAGGCGGAGGGAGGCGAGGGGCTGGGAGTGGGAGGAGGAGGGCGCAGCAGGGAGAGACCAGGGGTTTGGGAAGAGTTTGGGGGTCGGCTAGGAGCAGGTTAAACTCCAGAGCGGGCTGCGGTGGGGATTGTGAAGGGTAAAAGATGGAGAGGTTAGGGCGCCCGGAGAACGGTGTGAGGCAGGGGGAAAGGTGTCTGGAAGGTCAAGGAAGACTTGGACTGCTGTCTCTTAGTTCTCTGGGAACCTGGGAAGGACGTGGTGCTTGAGGCGGGGTCAGGGCGGGCCGCCGATCTCCCGTGGAGGGTCGTTTGTCCCTGGTCTGTCTGCCTGCTCAGCCTCTAGGGACGCTCATCTTGGGGTTGGGGGTGGGGGTCACGGTGTGACTCTGACGGTCGAGCTCTTTAACTTGGCGCTGTGTTCGCTCCCCCTAGTCATGTCTGAGCCACAGAGATGGGCAAGATCGAGAACAACGAGAGGGTGATCCTCAATGTTGGGGGCACCCGGCACGAAACCTACCGCAGCACCCTCAAGACCCTGCCCGGGACGCGCCTGGCCCTCCTCGCCTCCTCCGAGCCCCAGGGCGACTGCCTGACGGCGGCGGGCGACAAGCTGCAGTCCTCGCCGCCTCCACTCTCACCGCTGCCGCGTCCGCCCCCGCGGTCCCCTGGCCCCGGCGGCTGCTTCGAGGGCGGCGCGGGCAACTGCAGCCCCCGAGGCGGCGGCAGTGACCACCCCGGGGGCGGCCGCGAGTTCTTCTTCGACCGGCACCCGGGCGTCTTTGCCTATGTGCTCAACTACTACCGCACCGGCAAGCTGCACTGCCCCGCCGACGTGTGCGGGCCGCTCTTCGAGGAGGAGCTGGCCTTCTGGGGCATCGACGAGACGGACGTGGAGCCTTGCTGCTGGATGACCTACAGGCAGCACCGCGACGCCGAAGAGGCTCTCGACATCTTCGAGACCCCCGACCTCATCGGCGGCGACCCTGGCGACGACGAAGACCTGGCGGCCAAGAGGCTGGGCATCGAGGACGCCGCGGGCCTGGGCGGCCCCGACGGGAAGTCTGGCCGCTGGAGGAGGCTGCAGCCCCGCATGTGGGCGCTCTTCGAGGACCCCTACTCGTCCAGAGCCGCCAGGGTAAGGCCAGACACGACCCCTTCGGCGTTCCAGCAAGTCTCAACCCCTTGCCCAACTTTCTTTTTTTCAGTGGAGGGCCTCTGGGACTGGGGTAGGGAGAGAATGAATAGGGCTCCCTGATAATGAGATTGGAGGTCCATCGGTGCAAGGAAAACATAGGGATCCTGGCCCCCAAATGTCTCCCTCCTCCACCCTTTTCATCCTTTCCTTAACTATATCGGAGATTTTCTTTAGCAGATGGGACCTAATGGGCAAATGTTCACTGCTCTGTGCAAATCTCTCTAAACCTCGTCTGGATACCCGTATCATATTTCGTCGGAATTTATTTTCTTTCTCCTTCTTCTGTTGCAAATTTCCCTTTAGCTCGCAAGTCTCTTCCAGGCCTAGTGGTCATCACGAGTTGACATTTTCAATGAGGCCTCAATTGGTCGCCTCTGACTCATCCAGAGCAGTGACTTCAATTAGGGTCCAATGTGAGGACAGAGGAAGGGGATTTGGAAAGTATGTGTGGGCGCCTGGGGGAGGGGGTGCTGGTGGAGGGTTTGCCAGGAATATCCTGAATGCTGTTTGGGCCTGTCGCCTTCCTTCCAAGGTGGAAAAGTGCTGGAATTTCTAGTTTCAGTGAGTGGACAAGAAAGTCCACTTACACAGTGCATTTTGGAGTCTGGTGCCTTTTTCTTGGGCCCATATTTATGTTTCTTACAGGTTGAATGAGAATTTCTAACTCTTGGTGATCCTAGCTTAGTCCAGTTTTTTCAATCTGAGTAATTTAAAACGCAGTAAACTTATTTTTGCTCTTTAAATTGGATTCCATCTTCAATTTTTCTTTTCATTTTCTAGCTTGAGTGACAACTTAAATTTAGTGCTTGACACCCCAATTAATTCTTCAAATTTCCACAGAGAGACTCTAACAATATGCTTTTTCTAGTTAAAAGAAAATAAAAGAAATATAAATAACCAAAAATTATATAGTATGGCAATGTTTTTTAATTATATGTGAGAACAAAGTACTGTATTTAGTTAAATATTTGCAACTGCATATATCTGGTTTGTTTTTGACACCCCCTAATCTCCCCCTGTTGGCATAATAGGAATTTTTCCAGTATACTTTGGCCTCCTCCTTACTGTCTTTCTCTGCATGTCAGAGCCTCTGCATCTGAGCTATTTCCCAGCTGTTCATCTACTAACTTGTCAGAAGGTGTGGCTTTATACCACTTTGGAAGTTTGAGGATAGTTTTTATTATTAGTGTGAAATAGAATATGATAAAGGAAATTTAAAACATTGCTACTCTATTGAATCTGATACTTAAAGGCATACCTAAATTCTATCAAGTCCATTTTCATATTTGAATTGAATATTTGAACTAATAAATTTCACTCTGAAATCTTCCTTTTAAGATCATTCTATAAATTCAAAGGAATTGGCATTCATGAAAAAAAGTGCATGTTTATTTAAATTAAATCACCAAATCATGACCAATTACATCGTTATTTTTTTGGATTCCAGCTGAGTTCCACAGTGCTCTTTCTACTTGGTGGCTAAAAGGAGAATCTGAATTTGTTTTTAGGCTAATCATGTGATTTCTTTTTTTCAGATCATGTACTAAACAAAAATATTTCATTATCCTTCTTAATGATAACATAAGACATTTTATTGTAGGCCAGATTGTATAGCAAGAATTTGAAGGTGTTTAGTCTTACTATTATTATGGAAATTTATTCTATTGATTATTGTTACAGAATAAGCCATTAATTTGAAAATGGGTTTTTTTTTTTTTTCAAATCTTACTGAGAATTCATTGTAGTATTAGTAAAGATTTGACCTGCATCTATTTTAGGTGAGGAAAGAACACACAGGGTTGAAAGATTAACACAAGGTCAAAGAGCTATTAGAAGGAGAGTCAGCTGAGAATCATAGACTTGGAAAATTTCTTTGAGTCATCTCATGAAGACCCTTTAATTTGAAGACTGTGGATGCCAAATGGTGGCCAAGGTCATACGGCAAGTTAATAGCAGAGTCAAAGTTATGCTTTGAGGTCTCCTGACATTCTCCCCAGGCCGTATCCACCACTGATTACAACAGAGAGATGCGTTGCTCTTGAGATTTAATGCAGTATAACATTCACTAGAATTCTGCCTTTTAAAGGTCACCTATGACTTTTCAAGTGTATGTATCCAGGACTTCAGTTGATAGAATTTTTATCCTGCACCACCTATCATTAAAGTGTAAATATGGGATTCAAATTAGCTTTGTAAAATTAGCCCTATTTATACTTCCCATGTTTATTGACCATCTATATGTGATGTTTTGTTATCTTTCAGCTTGGCTAACATTTATTTAGGGACTTACCTTCAAGGATACCCCCTCCTATTACCAGAGGTTGCCTAGTAAAAGAATAATTATAAATCAGTTTCTATGTAAATGTGATTTAACATTTTTATATGCATCCTTCAGTTCAGATGCTGTCTTGACTTCTTAATTTTATCTGACTAGCTTAATAAATAGAATTACATTGGGAGGTCACAGGATGAAATTATATTTTGCATGGACATCATTCGAAGAAAGCTTAAATAAATTAAGTGGCTTGCTTCAGCTGTGGTCTTGTTGCCACAAGTCTCATTCTTCATAGAAACATTTAGTTTTTTTATAAACTTTTTCCTTACTTTAGTTCATCTGTTACTGATATAGGTGAGATGAATAGTTTATCTGTCTAATTCTTTTTCCATTTTGTTTTACCTATGTTATAATTTCTTTCTTCTTTATGAATATTGAGAAGATTGGCTCAGTTGTATTATAGATATGTTTTATTTCTAATTTTATGATCCAAACTGTCAAACAGAAACAACAATGGTAGGAATTTGGATAATTAATTGAATTTTACAACATCGTCATTTTGCCTTTTACTTTGGTTGGTGTTCCCTTTCCTTGGTTACTTTTATTTATTTGTAAATACCTATTTGAGAGGCTATACATTGTTCTTGTTAACCAGGCAAATAAGTTTTTTTCATACTTTTGAATTCTTACCTTTAAGAAATTTATAAAAATTCAAACATCATTTGTCATGGAAACTTGCTGTGGAGAATATGAGATCAGGAAAGAAAAATAGAGATTATTCTGTTGATGCCATTAATATTTACAAATAGCAAGAAGCAAGAATTTATAGATAAACAATGTTATGCTTTGTATGTATCCAATTTAATAGCTAAGTTGTCAAAGGAAATGAAGTTTGTATGTTATTTCCTTTGAAAACATCATATCATAGGTAAGTACACAGGTGCCCAGCAAAACAATCTTTACTAAAACTTTCAAATTTTCTTTAGAAGTTAAAAAAAAATGCATAAAGATAAAATACTGTAATAAAAATATTTTAAGTATTGTGTTCCCAATGACTGAGAACAGATATTAGTTCAGTCATATCTTTTCATTTATTTTTTTTTCTGGGTGGATGGGGTGAGCTGAGAAGAGAAAGTGATTGAATTTGTTTTTTACTTTAGAGTGTAACTCTTCCTTGGCAACACTCATTTCTTTGATTACCTCATAGTCCTTTCCCCCCTTCTATTTTCATTTTGCAAAAGAAAACCTGTCATGGAGCTACATTATGATGTTGATTTTTT